TGCGTCCGTGTGGTATATGGGAGACAGGGACTCGGGGCGGGCGAGCGATATTCGATTTATTTTGGCGATCGGTCGAGCGGAAATCGTATTGGAGCCGGATCTGCTTTGTATAGGAGGTTGCAAGTATTCTGTCGTTACAAATAAGTTGTTTAAATTTTTGTAATTATAATTTTTTTCTTTGAATTTAATAGAGAAGGTTTCCATATATTCCTGGATGAAACGCATAGTAAACAGAGATCAGGAAATACATTTGGAGGTTCCTGTATAAACCGGTTGAACATAAAAATCAATGAAGGTTTATAAAATCGGTAGTATTCCGTTTCAAAAAGTAATTCTCGCCCCATTCCCGACTCGGATAAAGTGCATTATATTGTATAAAATCTTCAGAGAATATAAAAACTCACCCAATTTATCTGCAACCCCTCGAGACTTTTAGGTTTCGACATCGTTTTCCTGCTACCGATAACCAGGTTAAACTATCTGAAAAAAAATTAATACTTTTTCCGCACAAATACGTATATAGTGAACACAAGTTAACATAGCAATGACATCACAACATTTTAACCAAGAAAAATTGTATTTAATCGGAAAAAAGCAAATATTGAATTCACCATGAATTTAGGCATAAACAATTAATCTTGCTACACCTATAGGTATTCTTTTGATTACCTTTGAAAGATGCATCGAAGCAACATATTTTCGCTATATGGACAGACTATTAAAAGGAGAAAAACGGCGAGGAAACGATGACGAAATAATCAATTAGAGTATTAGAGCTCGCCCATCTGTATTACACCGGTACAGTGACACCTGCTGCCTGCATAGAGCCACTTAAGAAGGCGGCTTTTAAGATCGACCCTTCGGCTTTTATTTACTTTCCCGTCGTCCATTATGCGGCGCAAAAGCGTCCCTTCGCTCCCTCGGGAGAGCAAGTTATTGACACCTAAACATTCTTCACTTAAAATGGAACCGACGCGATATAATAGGCATTTCATTATATCGGAAAATAAATCCATATTTGTTCGGATTAGTTTCAACTGACACAACTTGTAGCTACTCTACTCGTTGCCCAAACGACTCTTATTGGACAGGCTATTGGAAATTCTCTAGATAATTGACTCTATTAAGTAGATAATTGATTACATTAGGTAGTTAATTACCCTATTAGGTTGATAATCGAATGTATTAGGTAGCTAATTAACCGTATTAGGTAGAACATTAATGTAAAATGTAATGAATTAATCGACTCTATTGGCTAGTCAATTGACTCTATTATGTAGTTAATTGACTCTATTAGGTAGTTAATTGACTCGATTATGTAGTTAATTGACTCGGTAATTTCCTGTTTCGTACACTCCTGTTTCGTACACCGAGGGATTTTTACCTGAAAAATTCCTGTTTCGTACACTGAATAAATTAAATGAATTTTCGAAGTCTACTTCGTACACCGACCCTAATTTCAGGTACCTGTCAGCAGGGTACTTACTGGAAATTCATCGAAAAAAATGGGTACTTACGTAATGATGGGAAAATCATTAAATAAGGAATAAGCCCCGGTTATCTTAGAATTTTTGATCGGTGTGTATTTTCTGTAAGGGTTTAAAAGAGCAATAATTTTCAAAATCTCGATTAGTTTGTTGTAAGCACTTGCTCTGTTCGAATATTTGCTTATTTTGATATTAGTTTTAAATTTTGCATCGAGTGGTTAGTGACATGGAAGTTCAAGTAGTGAAGACTAAAAGAGGTAATCCAGCAATTTTGCATTCGGGACACCGTTATACTAAAAAACGAATGTTTAAAAACACTAATATTTTATGGACCTGTAACATCAGGACGTGCCCTGGTACTTTGACTACCAGTCAAACCTACGAGGTGATAGATAATAAGTCAAGTCATACCTGTACACCAAATGTTGCCAGAAATCAGGTTGAGGTATGCCTACAAAATGTAAAAAAACGTGCCCGGGAAGAGCTGCTTCCAATCCCACAAATCTACAGACAAGAAATTGCCGCCGTCAAAGATGCTGGACTCGACTTTGTCGTCAATGTGCCTGAATTGTCCTCGGTTAAGGGAAGATTCTATAGAGAGAGGCACCGAGCTCTAGGCATCGATGTTCTTCCCAAAAAACGAGCAGATATCGTCATGACGGAAGAAATGAAAGAACATTTATTGGTTGATGATGGAGCTGAAGATAGGATCATTATTTTTGCAGCAAATGGAGGAAAACTTCTAACAGAAGCGACTGAAATTTTTATGGATGGTACCTTCAAGAGTTGCTGCCCTCTATTTGATCAACTTTACACCATACATATGGACGTGGGAAGCACTTCGGAGGAAACACGAATTGTGCCTGTGATCTATGCACTGCTTCCGGATCGAAAAGAAGCGACTTACACAAGATTTTTGACACTGGTGAAGAATAATGTGCCAAAGTTAAGCCCCAAGAAAGTTCACATTGATTTTGAGCGGGCAGCAATTAATGCAGTGAAAGCCGTTTTCCCAGAAAGTACAGTCAAAGGATGTAATTTTCACTTTAATCAGGCTATATGGAGGAAAATTCAAGAACTTGAATTAGTGACTGATTACAAAGACGATACAGAAGTTCGAGACCACCTTCGTAGATGTGCTGCATTAGCACATCTCCCAGAAGCCTACATCACAGATGCATGGCTTCAAATAATGGAAAATTGCCCAAATATAGAGAAGGTTAGTAGATTTAACGACTATTTCGTGAATCAGTGGTTGGAAATGGATTATATTTGGATATGCTATGGAGAACGGCATAGAACTACAAATGCTGTGGAAGGATGGCATAGCAGATTAAATAGGCGCATTGCCAAAAGTCATCCAAACATTTACGAACTGACCAAAGTGTTAAAAGAAGAAATTGAATACTACGACATCGTACTTAAAAAATATGACTTATATGTGACAACTCCAAAGCGTGCCAAAAGATACATAGATCTGGACGACCGAATACAAAGAATATTGGAATACCATTTAAACGTTAGAGGTGACATAAATGGTACATTAAACCGTTTAATTTATGTAGTAAAATTTAATTAAGTTTAAATAACTATTTTGTATATATTCTGTTTTACAATTATGATTTATAAAATAAATATGTTTAAAAAACCCGGGTGTAGTAATTTCAAAGAAATAAAGCTGGGTTATTAAAAAGGCCAGTGTACGAAATAGACTTCGAAAATTCATTTAATTTATTCAGTGTACGAAACAGGAATTTTTCAGGTAAAAATCCCTCGGTGTACGAAACAGGAGTGTACGAAACAGACCTGAATAATTGACTCGATTATGTAGTTAATTGACTCTATTAGGTAGATAATTGAATTTATTGGGTAGTTAAAAGACTCTCTTAGATATTTATATGACTCTTAAGTAGAATAGCTTGTAGGAGATATGTAAATAACACTCTATATAAAGTAAAAAAAGTAGTAAAAATAATGGAAATGTTAAGCCCGTCATCTCTCCTAGTTATAGCGTGCAACAGGCGAAACTTAGTTAATTTCTATTTGACATGACGTGCCAACTAGATAATGCGATAGGAACTTTCACATACGAACGAACTTTCGCCGGGTAGTCGAAAGAGAGGGCGAGCGCGAGCGGGAGAGAGTAAGGTAGATGTATCGCTGAGAGTTTCTGATCCGTGCGGAAACGTGTGTACGAAAATTCCATAGTTCCGAACTGAAAGTTGCAAGTTGCTTATTTGCAGCAGCAGTTCAGCGAAATTCTACAACAGGCGCGCGCGGTATTAATTGCAATGCAACTTTAATCAGTTTTCTCGCGTTCGCAGCTAACTTGGCTGAATTAATAAATTCCGAGTCGGCGCCGAAAGTTAATGTTTGTTAAATCGTTCGGTGAGGTGTTTATAATTTTCTAATTTCTAATTGGATGTTTGAGTTATTCTAGCGATTATTTGCACCTATTTGCAGGCCTAATAGAAAGGCTACATGTTGTACAACAAAGGAGTTAATTAATAATCTATTAATTTGTGAAGACAAATAAGCCAATCGTTTACTCAGACAGGATACTAATTTCTTAAGAAATTCAATTAACTTCCTAAGAGAGTAATTATCTGCATAAGAAAATAATTTGTTAACCAACTATCTATCAATTTAAGAAAGAAGAAATTAAAGAAGATATACTAACAAACATTATGCCCTCGTTATAAATCTCTCGCACGCCCCGCAAGCTCGACTATAAGCCACTCACTAACTAATGAATGAGTCACCTCAAAATGATACAATTTAACACAAATTTGTGTATTAAATAAACGAATTAATGAAGGAAAAACGGGTATAATCGCCCCCGAAAGAATCCTCTGGAGATAAATATTTGCGAATTCTCCGTTTCGACTTTCGTCCGGCCGATATCGAGCAAACTTTTCGGCTGATTTACGGAAATGCCGGCCGATTTTGTGTAGAGCCGCGTCGTTAAGAGCGAGAAAACTCGCCCGCGTTCATTTCGCGGCGAATGCTAAAACTTTGTTCGAGTAAACAAACGTTGTAAATTGCGTTAGCAAGCATTGTTTCATGGATAAATATACACGTACCTATCGAAACTAAAATAATAGAACAGTTTTTGCGGAAAACTATCGTTTAATTACCTGAAATAGAAGGAATAATTTCTATATCAGATTGGGCGAGTGTACTGAAATCAAATCAGGTCAGTACAAGAAACACGATGTTATTAATAGATGTAATAATTAAGAACCATTTAGAAGGCTCAAGAATCATATAGAACTGTCTAGTCTAGAACAATCTAGAACGCTCCAGAAACATTTTGGACAAATTAAAGAAACTAGTCAAATAGTGACTAGTGGCTTGGAAGCTGGAGTGAGATTCATAGTGAAATAAAATCCTTTTTTATGAATTACAACTTTATTATCCTGAGTTATATTGAGTATTATTATTGAGTATATTAGTAAAAAGATCTTATCTAGAGAGTATCTTCTTATTGTTAGTATTATTCCCTTGTTCCTTTCAGCACATTTCTTGCAAGACTCTTTGATAATAATCCTGCAATTGCACTAACAACAGCCGTTTCTCATCATCCGAAGCGAAACATTGTTTAACAGTCTCGCAAACGAATTGATAAAGACGCTTTGGAGAAACATCGAAATGTTTCATAACCTGTTCGTATTCGTTGGAAAGTGTCGTGCGAAATACCCCTTTATCATCGGTCTGAAAACAGCGAAAATTTAATATTTATCGAGAGATTTATTCAAAATTAAATTCTTACGCAAATCGAAAATGGAAGTTTCGATTCTATCAATTCGCCAATATGATGGGCCTCGTACTTTTCGATTATTCCGCAGGTGATGTTTGAAGTGAGACAACATTCTGAAGAAAGCGTTGCATTAACAAAGATAGTAAATGAACCGTACCTATAATACACTAATAAATACACTATATAGTTTACAAGGCTTTGTGAACTTTAGAACGGTCCAGAATCATTTAGAAATGACTAGAACCATTTAGAAAGGTCCAGAACCATTTAGAACCGTCTAGAACCATTTAGAACCTTCCAGACCCATTTAAAACTGTCTAGAGCCATTTAGAACGCCCCAGAACCATTTAGAATGGACATGTCACAAGTATATAAATAAAAAATATATTAGAAAAAGTTGATTTTATGACATAAGTATTAAAAAATCAGTAAACTAGTTTCATTATTACCTATTGGAATTTTCTTCTCCAAATAAATATTCCAGTTTTCAGCTGATCCGTTATGTTTCGGATGCAAAAACACGCAATGACCCAGCCTATCCGGAACGAATTCCAGAATTTTCTTCACTTCTTCGTCGTTCTTCACTTCTGCGCAATGTATGGAAATCTTAAGCCCGGATCGTCGAGCTTTCTCGAACAAATTAACGTCGAAATTACCCACGCTGGGATTCCCGCTCAAATCTAATCCTTTAATAATCTCCGGATGTTTTTCTTTCATTTTTAAAATCACATCCAAACTTTCTCGAGCCGTTTGCGCGTCTTGACTACGATCTATCGATAAAATTAGTTTAACTAGAATACTACAGACATTTTTGCAGTCTTTTATAGCTCTTACGACTGTTTCTATGTACTCCTCTTTGCTCATATCTTCCTCGCTTCGAGGAGTTGTTCGCAGCTCTAAGTAAATTGTGTTCTCTTTGTCAAAGTCTCTAATAACACTTTGAGCTGCTAAATACAAATTTTCCTGGGTTTTTGTGGCGTTGTGAGCTACTTTGAACAAATCGAAGCATTCTTCTAGTGTTCTGGTGGTTTTGTTTAGAATATTTGTGAGTTTTTGGTATTTTTCAATAGAGGTATCACTGCACCCCAGTTGGCGAAGAATATCTTCGTTTAGAGAGCCGTTTAAGTGAGCATGAAGTTCCTATTAGTAAAAATGTATAATTAAGATAAAAAAAAATTTCATAAAATACTCTATTATTACACTTTATTTATTATTAAGTTAAGTATGTGCCTTTTTCAGTGTTGTAATTTTATGATACTAAAAACGTGCAATATAAAAAATAATTAAAGAGACTTACTATTTTTGGGAATTTTTGACAAAATTCCTTCGTGTTTATCTTTACAACACTATTTGTTCCATTCATTTTTCCTTCGCAAATTCGATGATAAGAATTGCAAATTGGAGCATGCATTAGTTAGGTTATGTTTAAGTTTATTGTCAAACTGTCAAAAGTCAAAAATAATTCATGGAACACAAAAATAAGATTTTTTTTTACTCCGTGCAAATAAATTGAACTTGTCATCCATTACTTAGACAACCAGTATTACAATAATCAATACTTCTATTCTCCTGCCACCTATTAAACACTCTTAAAATTACTAGTCGATATTATAATTGTTAAAACTCACAATTACATTAAATTCTACACCTATTCTCAAACTATTTTTATTCACTAATCGATACAATTAACTTTAAATTTCTTGAATGGCCTTTATCTTTTCAACTATACAGTTTCCAGTACTTTGAGCTTAATTATCAATTACAGATGGCAGCACCATGTTCAAAACTGATTCTTCAAGCGATAAATTTAATATACAGGGTGAATCACCACACAATTTCTATAGAATGAAATAGTACCAACAATTCAAATAAATCTTACCAAATTTTGATTGTGACACTCATGTTATGTCACTATACAATATGTCAATATTTTAATTGTTAAATGTATCTCTTTGTTGTTTAACTGAATGAACTGTAGTTATTTCCTGCAAAAACATAATTAAACATGGCAGGAACTAAACACAAGAAGTCCGATGATTCCTCAGCTCATTCTAGTCGACAGGTAAAATACTCTTACTTATCTATGCCATTTAAATGCAATAATTACACCAGAATGTGTACTTAATGTGTTAATATTTTCAGCCATCTTTAGATGTCACAGCTGATAATTTTACAACAATCAGAGAGGACAGTAAAATTTTCGTAGACAAAACAATGTTTATCAAGCAAATCCTGGAGGAATCCTCTTACAAGATCATATTAACAGCTCCGCCGCGTTTCGGAAAATCCACCAACATGAGCATGTTGTACGCTTTCTTCTCCAGAAAACCGAACCAACCGGATCTTCCAGACATGAAACAAGAAACGATAGAAGCAGTCGGGAAATCTCTGCAAGATAAATACGAGCTGTTCAAACAACTGGAAATCTACCAATGCAAACACAAGAAATGCCCGGCTGATGTGTCTGGTGATTTCAAAGATTGCGAGGTGAAGAAAAGTTTCTATACCCATTGCGGACAATATCCAGTGGTATATCTGGATTTTGATAGCGTGAGCGGGAAAAATTCGCAATCGTTCCTCAACGGTATGCAATCATTGCTCAAACGGGCTTTCCACGCTCATTACTACATGATACAGTTCAATCAACAGTCACAAAAATGGACCTGGTCTGATAAATCAATGTTCGATCAAGGAATGCAATTGACGGATTTTCTCAATTACTGGGAGAACGATGATGTTTATAAAATCTGGCATGAGGCAGATGTAGATGGTAAAATTTCATACATTTCCAAAGGTTTCGAAAACTTGTACTGTCTTATAACTTCCTATTATGGCGCGGATAAGAAACCGATGCTTTTGATTGACCAATTGGATGCTCCTTTCATAAAAGCTCTATACGAACAAAGTCCGGAACTACACGAAATTTGCAGAAGCACCAGAGAATTCATGCGCGTACTATTAAAAAGTAACTCAGCTAAAACGCACTTAAGCAGAGCTATAATCACATGTACAACAACAATAGGATGTATAGCATCGGTAGAACCAATCAATATCGATATTAGATCATTTACCGACCAACAGTACATCAAACACTTTGGTTTCAACAAATTAGAAGTTCAAAAACTCGTCGAGAAGAATTTAAAATCAAAAGACCAACAAAGCGTTTTAAAACACATGAAAACTTGTTACGACAATTACTCTGCAGACTCTGCATACGACATTTACTGTCCATTATCAGTTAAACAGTATATTTTACACAAAACATTAGATAATTACTGGTATACACCAGCACAAGTATTGTTATTATACCAACCATTCCAACACGAACAAATCAGAAAAATCATACTAGTACATTTAGAATCCTACCAAACAACAAGCATCGATATCACCTTACAGGAATTAACCGTTGACAACACAACAAACCTAAAAAATCTATTCCATGCACAAGAAACCGAGCTGCAGCTCAACCAAATACATTTATTCCTGCGATTTCTCACCGAATGCGGCTACTTTACCGTAACGAAGCGGCTATTAAACAGCAAACAACGGGAAATCGCTTGGACGATTTGCATCCCGAACTCCGAAACCGAGGCTCAAATATCCAAGCAAATGAACTGGGCCATACTCAACAGGGCCAAATCGAAACTGTTGCCACAAAAAATCGAATCGCTTCGATCGGCTTTGAAGAAGCTCCAAGCAAACTCGAGGGAAACTTACCTGGAATTGGTGCACAGTTTGGAGGATTTGTACTCCGACGGGTACCAGCCGGTGAACCAGTACAACTTCCTCAAAGACATCAGCATGATGTTATCTGATGAGAACGAATCGTTTCACGTGCATTCCGATTACCCCGAATTGATTGTAGTGCACAATACCACCGGTATAGTTTTAGAGCTGAAGAGAGGACGAAGCGAATCCGCCGATAGCGCTTTGAGGCAGATACTGAGCAGGAAGTACTGGAAGACGTGGGAGCGAATCAACCGGAAAATCGTGGATAAAATATTAATCGGGTTGCATCTGGATGGTCCTGATGTCACCATGAGGTATTTAGAGAATCCCGATTACAGGAAAAAGGACGAGCATTTGTTTAATAGAAGTGTACTAGTTTCATTGTGTAGAGATAAAACTAAAAAGGGGAATATAAATTGATATGATATATTCAGAGTTTTTGTTTTTTGAATGTACATAAATGTTTGTATGCGAGAATAGAGCGAGTTTAGAATCCAGAATGTGCGCGGTGTACTAAAAATAATTAATTCAACCTTCTAAAGTAATTTTACTAAACAATTTTCATCAACAATTCTAGTTTTAAATATACCGTATTTCACAGAAAAAGTATTGCGATAAAGAAAAGTATAAAGTACGTTCATTTGTATATATCAATAACGCCTGGTATACAAACCTTGCACTTAGTAAAATAAGATAATGATTTCAAGGTAGCATCGAAAATTTGCTGATAAATATAAATTTATCCTATACGAGCAGTCAGTACTAGATAATACGCCGCTTGAAGTTATAGCATTAATACAACACAGTTAGGTATAGTGCGATCGTGTGATAAATTCTATATTATTAAATCAGGAAAATGCCTACAAACGAATTGTTGATTACTGAGGCGGGAAAGGTGAGAGAAAAATGGGGAAAATCCGAGGCAAACCTCAAACAGGACTTGCAGATTTTGAAAGACTGGCTAAAAACACAGAAACACCTGCCTAAAGTACCGGGTAAGTTATTTTATAAGATACAGGTTAAATTCATCAATGTTTAGATAAATAATTTTTTACAAGATATTAAATACATTGATGGTATACTATCCAGCAGTTGCAGTTAAAAAAGTAAAAATAGAAGTAGGAAATTTCTAAACCGATATCTTTTATTCAAGATTATCTAATAATAGCTAATCTCAATTTAATACCATATAATTATAATTATGCGTTATTGGAAAAATAATTTGTTCTTAGTAAATTAAGGCATCTGCCTAAAATACGGGGTAAGTAATTTTTAAAGACACAGGAGGGTAAATTTATCAAATGCTTAGATTAATAATTTTTATAAGATAATAAAATAAATATAATATCAGTTCTCAGCTAAAAAAATTCAATTACCTTTGAAATAAAATTATGCATTATTGGATATTAGTAGTAAGTACTGATTAATCCACAATTATTGATATTTATCTATTAATTTCAGATGAACGTATTATCGAATTTCTATTAACCAACTGTAAATATAGCTTGGAAATGACGAAAACCCATCTGGATATGTATTTTACAGTGCGTTCTTTAATGCCTGATGTGTTCGATCAGAGCCATCCCAAACAATCCAAACACCAGGCTCTTTACAGTTTAATGTAAGTATATTGTAACTCCTCGAGTTACTAGAAGAACATAATACATTTGAAGCACAAATTAACAATCTACTATTTTTAGAGACTATGTAGTCCTTCCAAAATTAACGGACTCTCTACACAGGATATCGCTGATAAGATTCAAAGAAAACAGCGCAGAAAAACTGAATCCTCTACATCTACTAGCCTACGGAACAAATTTATGCGAATTACGAATTCGTCACCACGATATTGTAATGGGTGAAGTGATTATATTAGATTGCCAGCACTTTAACTTGGGACATGTGAGGAAATTCACTCCTGCTGCGATAAAAAAGTGCATGATAGTGTCAGACGTAAGTTAATTATTTACTATTTAGATCAGAAAAAAAATCTGCAATTATTATACGCCACTAATAAAATTAATTCAATTTGTAGAAAGTTTGGGGAAGCAGAATAAAGGAATTTCATATAATGAATTATTCACCTGCCTTAGATGGTATACTGACAGTAGCTAAAGGGATATTAGGCAAGAAACTATACAATAGAGTATGTAATTTATCTACTTAATTAAATTTAAGCAATACAGGTTACTTAAAACATGGACTTTATTCTCTTGGAATAAAAATAAGATGACTTACCCATTTTACAAATGAAAATCATATAACGTTTTGTTGACCCCCTGTATTTTTTGCAGATATTTTTGCATCAAACGTACGACAGTCTCTTGGAAAAAATTCCTAAAGATTTATTGCCCAGCGATTTCTGCGGCGACCAAAAATCAATCAAAGAACTTATCGGTAAATATTCTGTACTAATCACCGGTTAATTACTAATTAAATTCACGATTTCCAGATTTATTGAAATTAAAATTCGAGGAATGCAGCGACGGATTCGACGAGTTGCAGAAATTGAAAGTTGATGAGAAATTGCGCCCGGAGCCGCTCAATAACTCTGAAGTCTTGGGATATTACGGGAATTTCAAGAAGCTAGATGTCGATTGATTTTATTTATTTTTTAACTCTATGTTACAATTACCTTTTATGTTTTAATAATTAAATGTTTTAAAGGAGAGTACTTACATAAAAAAATTACTCCATTTACTGCAAGCTGCAGATTTAAGTAAAAAAGAAGATTTAAGTAACCTGTAAAAAATTGTTCTCGCCCATAGACCTATTACTTAATAGGTCTATGTTCTCGCCCAAATTTAACCCCTACCCCATTTGGAATTGGTACAGATCAGGTGATTGTGCAATAGGCAATTTGTTTATAAAATAGTTTAGTTCCTGTTAGAATGATACCAATTATTACTTATGTCGATGTGTGGAATTTTTAAATCCACTCTCAATTTACTCAGGTATACCTTAGACGTTCATTAACCGTTTTATTGAGCGACATGAATTAGAAATTCACAAATTTCTTCCGCATTTTCCAACTTTATTTACCATTTCCAGACACTTGCGACAGCATAACATCAGTATTCCGAGTGGAAGCCGACGCCTGCGGACGCCTGTGGGTGCTGGACAGCGGCCTGATCGACGTCACCATAAAACCCAAGCAAATATGCCCGCCAAAAGTCCTGATCTTCGATCTTCATACCGACCAGCTCCTCTACAAACACATCCTGCCCAAGGAGTTCATCAAAGAGGACAGCCTGTACTCCAACATCCTGGTAGACGTGCGCGACGATTGCCACAGCGCTCATGCCTATTTGAGCGACGTTTGGTCTAAGGTGAAACCGGTGAAACCGGTGAAACCGGTTGGTCTGAGGTGAAAGATGCTTTCAAAGTTCTGGGTCAAAGTCGGGGAAAATCCGGGCATGTATCCGCATTAAGAATTGAAAGAAATGGTAATAATACAAGACATATAATCGCTTGAAAATGAATAAATAATTGTTCTTGCAGGTGTTATGTTTTACAATTTAGTAATGAGAGATTCGATAGGTTGCTGGGATATCAGGAAACCTTACAAACGGGCTAATTTAGAATTTGAAATCAAAAGACCAACAAAGCGTTTTAAAACACATGAAAACTTGTTACGACAATTACTCTGCAGACTCTGCATACGACATTTACTGCCCATTATCAGTTAAACAGTATATTTTACACAAAACATTAGATAATTACTGGTATACACCAGCACAAGTATTGTTATTATACCAACCATTCCAACACGAACAAATCAGAAAGATCATACTAGTACATTTAGAATCCTACCAAACAACAAGCATCGATATCACCTTACAGGAATTAACCGTTGACAACACAACAAACCTAAAAAATCTATTCCATGCACAAGAAACCGAGCTGCAGCTCAACCAAATACATTTATTCCTGCGATTTCTCACCGAATGCGGCTACTTTACCGTAACGAAGCGGCTATTAAACAGCAAACAACGGGAAATCGCTTGGACGATTTGCATCCCGAACTCCGAAACCGAGGCTCAAATATCCAAGCAAATGAACTGGGCCATACTCAACAGGGCCAAATCGAAACTGTTGCCACAAAAAATCGAATCGCTTCGATCGGCTTTGAAGAAGCTCCAAGCAAACTCGAGGGAAACTTACCTGGAATTGGTGCACAGTTTGGAGGATTTGTACTCCGACGGGTACCAGCCGGTGAACCAGTACAACTTCCTCAAAGACATCAGCATGATGTTATCCGATGAAAACGAATCGTTTCACGTGCATTCCGATTATCCCGAATTGATTGTAGTACACAATACCACCGGTATAGTTTTAGAGCTGAAGAGAGGACGAAGCGAATCCGCCGATAGCGCTTTGAGGCAGATACTGAGCAGGAAGTACTGGAAGACGTGGGAGCGAATCAACCGGAAAATCGTGGATAAAATATTAATCGGGTTGCATCTGGATGGTCCTGATGTCACCATGAGGTATTTAGAGAATCCCGATTACAGGAAAAAGGACGAGCATTTGTTTAATAGAAGTGTACTAGTTTCATTGTGTAGAGATAAAACTAAAAAGGGGAATATAAATTGATATGATATATTCAGAGTTTTTGTTTTTTGAATGTACATAAATGTTTGTATGCGAGAATAGAGCGAGTTTAGAATCCTGCTGAATGTGCGCGGTGTACTAAAAATAATTAATTCAACCTTCTAAAGTAATTTTACTAAACAATTTTCATCAACAATACTAGTTTTAAATATACCGTATTTCACAGAAAAAGTATTGCGATAAAGAAAAGTAAGTACGTTCATTTGTATGTATCAATAACGGCTGGTATACAAACCTTACATTTAGTAAAATAAGATAATGATTTCAAGGTAGCATCGAAAATTTGCTGATAAATATAAATTTATCCTATACGAGCAGTCAGTACTAGATAATACGCCGCTTGAAGTTATAGCATTAATACAACAGAGTAAGGCATAGTGCGATCGTGTGATAAATTCTATAATTTTAAATCAGGAAAATGCCTACAAACGAATTGTTGATCACTGAGGCGGGAAAGGTGAGAGAAAAATGGGGAAAATCCGAGGCAAACCTCAAACAGGACTTTCAGATTTTGAAAGACTGGCTAAAAACACAGAAACACCTGCCTAAAGTACCGGGTAAGTTATTTTAAAAGATACAGGTTAAATTCATCAATGTTTAGATAAATAATTTTTTACAAGATATTAAATACATTGATGGTATACTATCCAGCAGTTGCAGTTAAAAAAGTAAAAATAGAAGTAGGAAATTCCTAAACCGATATCTTTTATTCAAGATTATCTAATAATAGCTAATCTCAATTTAATACCATATAATTATAATTATGCGTTATTGGAAAAATAATTTGTTCTAAGTAAATTAATTCATCTGCCTAAAATACGGGGTGTCATTTTTAAAGACACATGGTAAATTTATCAAATGCTTAGATTAATAATATTTATAAGATAATAAGATAAATATAGTATCGGTACTCAGCTAAAAAAAGTAAAAAAAAAATACTGGAAAATCCTGCAATTTCCTTCGATATCTAATTTCCAAGAATATCTTTAATAATCTCAATTTATTACCTTTTAAAAAAAATGTGTATTATTGGATATTAGTTGTAAGTACTGATTAATCCACAATTATTGATATTTATCTATTAATTTCAGATGATCGTATTATCGAATTACTATTAACCAACTGTAAATATAGCTTGGAAATGACGAAAACCCATCTGGATATGTATTTTACAGTGCGTTCTTTAATGCCTGAAGTGTTCGATCAGAGCCATCCCAAACAATCCAAACACCAGTCTATTTACAGTTTAATGTAAGTATATTGTAACTCCTTGAGTTACTAGAAGAGCATAATACATTTGAAGCACAAATTAATAATCTATTATTTTTAGAGATTATGTAGTCCTTCCAAAATTAACGGACTCTCTACACAGGATATCTCTGATGAGATTCAAAGAAAACAGCGCAGAAAAACTGAATCTTCTACATATAGTAACCTACGGAACAAATTTATACGAATTACGAATTCGTCACAACGATATTGTAATGGGTGAAGTGATTATATTAGATTGCCAGCACTTTAACATGGGACATGTGATGAAATTCACTCCTGCTGCGTTAAAAAAGTGCATGTTAGTGTCAGAGGTAAGATAATTATTTACTATTTAGATCAGAAAAAAATCTGCAATTATTATACGCCACAAATAAAATTAATTCAATTTGTAGAAAGTTTGGGGAAGCAGAATAAAGGAATTTCATGTAATTAATCATTCACCTGCCATAGATGCTATACTGACAGTAGCTAAAGGGATATTAAGCAAGAAACTATACAATAGGGTATGTAATTTATCTACTCAATTAAATTTAAGCAATACAGGATACTTAAAACATGGACTTTATTCTCTTGGAATAAAAATAAGATGACTTACCCATTTTACAAATGAAAATCATATAACGTTTTGTTGACCCCCTGTATTCTTTGCAGATATTTTTGCATCACACGTACGACGGTCTCTTGGAAAAAATTCCTAAAGATTTATTGCCCAGCGATTTCTGCGGCGACCAAAAATCAATCAAAGAACTTATCGGTAAATATTCTGTACTAATCACCGGTTAATTACTAATTAAATTCACGATTTCCAGATTTATTGAAATTAAAATTCGAGGAATGCAGCGACGAATTCGACGAGTTGCAGAAATTGAAAGTTGATGAGAAATTGCGCCCGGAGCCGCTCAATAACTCTGAAGTCTTGGGATATTACGGGAATTTCAAGAAGCTAGATGTCGATTGAATTTATTTATTTTTTAACTCTATGTTACAATTACCTTTTATGTTTTAATAATTAAATGTTTTAAAGGAGAGTACTTACATAAAAAATTACTCCATTTACTGCAAGCTGCAGATTTAAGTAAAAAAGAAGATTTAAGTAACCTGTAAAAAATTGTTCTCGCCCATAGACCTATTACTTAATAGGTCTATGTTCTCGCCCAAATTTAACCCCTACCCCATTTGGAATTGGTACAGATCAGGTGATTGTGCAATAGGCAATTTGTTTATAAAATAGTTTAGTTCCTGTTAGAATGATACCAATTATTACTTATGTCGATGTGTGGGATTTTTAAATCCACTCTCAATTTACTCAGGTATACCTTAGACGTTCATTAACCGTTTTATTGGGCGACATGAATTAGAAATTCACAAATTTCTTCCGCATTTTCCAACTTTATATACCTTTTCCAGACACTTGCGACAGCATAACCTCAGTATTCCGAGTGGAAGCCGACGCCTGCGGACGCCTGTGGGTGCTGGACAGCGGCCTGATCGACGTCACCATAAAACCCAAGCAAATATGCCCGCCCAAAGTCCTGATCTTCGATCTTCATACCGACCAGCTCCTCTACAAACACATCCTGCCCAAGGAGTTCATCAAAGAGGACAGCCTGTACTCCAACATCCTGGTGGACGTGCGCGACGATTGCCACAGCGCTCATGCCTATTTGAGCGACGTTTGGAGATACGGAATAGTGGTGTTCAGTTTGGAGAAGATGAGATCTTGGAGGGTGACCGATCATTTGTTCTTTCCAGAACCACTGGCGGCTGCTTATCAGGTGCATTACACAGTAACGCCTACGAAATTGTTACCAAGGAATTATTTTTTGGTTGTTAACAGGTACATCATTTGCATTTCGAATGGACTGATGGAGTTTTTGGACTATCTTTGAGCCCTCACGATTGTCACAATAGAGATAGGATTCTCTATTTCCATCCGATGTCGAGTTTTCGGGAGTTCTACGTGAAGACGTCCGTAATTTGCAACGAAACCGGTTGGTCTGAAGTGAAAGATGCTTTCAAAGTTCTGGGTCAAAGTCGAGGAAAATCCGGGCATGTATCCGCATCCAGAATTGATAGAAATGGTAATAATACAAGACATATAATCGTTTGAAAATGAATAAATAATTGTTCTTGCAGGTGTTATGTTTTACAATTTAGTGACGAGAGATTCGATAGGATGCTGGGATATCAGGAAACCTTACAAACGGGCTAATTTAGGCGTGGTTGCCAGAAGTTCGGAAACATTGGTGACAAGGAAAAAGCGACAAGGAAAAGCGACAGAGCGTATGGGTGTTGACCAATAAATTTTTATATACGAGGGGCTCGACGAAAATATGGTGAATTGTTTATGTTTTTTATACAAATCTCTCATGAATATCATTTTGTAAGTACTTGATGTATGATAATAAAAATGGATTTACATAGTACTTATAAAATAAGTTACGATGGTTTATCCATTTTTTATCAGTACATTTAGTATGTACGCATTTTTAAAATAGGGTTTTCCACAAAATTGTATAGAATCGATAGTATTTCAAAGAATTATAAAATATCATTTATCAGTAAAAAAATGAATGACATTTGCGATGAAAGTTGGAAAAACCGGCGGTAAATCAAAGGCTGGTGTTGCCAAAATTTTGACTATTTTTTTGCTATTTTTTATTTTCAATATTTTACTAAAGGAAGTTGGCTCAGAACATAATATTTTGAGGTCGAGAATCTTCCATTTTAATTTGGGCCATTACTTACGGACCACCCTGTATACGTATTCCATTTATATTTTTCTTATTATTGTCAAATGTTTATAATTTTGTCAAATGATGTTCAAATGTTTGTATTCAAAGTTGTATTGTATTGTATTGTAATTCAATTATTTTGGTTATATGTATTGCATTCAATTTTATATATCTTTAAATAAATACATTTCTAATTAACAAAAGTTGTTCTTATTTTACAATTTGCAGTATGTAATATTAAATTATAAAAATAAAATTTGAATATACCACCAATTTTTAATTTTGACTTTGGACCGAATAGCCGCAGTTGCCGAGACCATAAATCGAAGAATAAGAAATTGACAAGTAGTATATGATAGTTCTATAAGCAATGCATAGATGGCGCCATAACGTTTTGCTAACACATCGCGCATGATCACGTATGCTTAAGTTACTTAAGAAAGTATAGCAAAGGGGAGGCACCGGTGGGGGAGGACGGCGGACCAACAAATTTTACCAACATTCATGATTTACGATGATCATTCATGACGATGAGTACTTTGAATCCTGCGCATTTTTTTTCTTAAAAAAGAGCAACATACCCCTACCATGGCAAAGGAGGTACTGAGCGCTCCGGTAGCCGACATGTTCATTTATAATTTTGTCAAGTGGCGCCATCTGTATGCTAACTCGTGGCGCCATCTGTATGACATTCTTATTCTTCTCTTTTATATGGCCTCTTGCTCTGAGACATACAGCCATGTTTTGCTGAATTATACATGAATTTAATTACTCATTATTTTAAATTGTAAAATTGAAAATAATAATTAAAAACACACATTTGACACTATAAACAAACAAAATGGCGAAAGCACGTAAACAGTGTAAGTTCCTAAGTTAATAAATAAATAGTTTTATAGTTAAAAAGACCAGCAATTTTTAATATTCTTTATTAAAAAACCGTTAACATTTAAATCGAGACAATTTCTTCAACGTATCACATCGTAACAATTCGAAGTGAAAAATAATCTCTCTAAATCGAAAAGCTCCAATTTAATTAGTATATAAATTAGTAATACACCGTACGATTTTCGCTCTAATCGTACAATTCATGCACCGCTATCCATAGCATCGTGGTAGCTCTTTCCGCCCTTCTGCTCCGCATCCGATTTGATCATATCGTCGATTCTTAGTATAGTTATCGCCACCTCCGTCGCGAATTTCAACCATTTCACCTTAGACATACTCGACTCCAGCCCGCCCGCCTTCCTATTGTCTCTCACGGTACCTAAAAAAAATAAATAAACACGCCACTGTTAGAAAGAACGCAACGTTTCTCTATCTCCTCCAATGTAGCTTGCCAGTTGCAAATCGCCTAAAGAAGTATAGAGAAAGAATTGCCAAGCTACATTGGTCGAAGTATACGCTATTAAAGTTAGCGACAGTAGCGCCACGAGCGACAAAATCTGCAAGTAATACGCGCAAGAAATTCAATTTACCTTCGATTTGATCCAACCCGACGTACTTCAAATGCACGTGATCCTTTTTGGTCTGGCTGGAATTCTGGTAAGCCTTCAGCTTCGCCACCAAATCGGTGGCGTCCTGGGCAGCGTTCACCGCCAACGTCTTCGTTATGACCAGCAGACTTCGGGCGAATTTGGCGATGGCGAGTCTTCTACATATACTAACCTACGGAAAAAAATTATACGAATTACAAATTCGTCAGTATTTGTAATATTGTAATGGGTGAAGTGTTTATATTAGATTGTCAGCATTTTAACATGGGACATGTGCTGAAATTCACTCCTGCTGCGATAAAAAAGTGCATGTTAGTGTCAGAGGTAAGATAAATATTTACTATTTAGAACAGAAAAAAATCTGCAATTATTATACGCCACTAATAAAATTAATTCAATTTGTAGAAAGTTTGGGGAAGCAGAATAAAGGAATTTCATATAATTAATCATTCACCTGCCATAGATGCTATACTGACAGTAGCTAAAGGGATATTGAACAAGAAATTATACAATAGGGTATGTAATTTATCTACTTAATTAAATTTAAGCAATACAGGATACTTAAAACATGGACTTTATTCTCTTGGAATAAAAATAAGATGACTTACCCATTTTACAAATGAAAGTCATATAACATTTTTTTGACCCCCTGTATTTTTTGCAGATATTTTTGCATCACACGTACGACAGTCTCTTGGAAAAAATTCCTAAAGATTTATTGCCCAGCGATTTCTGCGGCGACCAAAAATCAATCAAAGAACTTATCGGTAAAATATTCTGTACCAATCACCGGTTAATTACTAATTAAATTCACGATTTCCAGATTTATTGAAAATAAAATTCGAGGTATGCAGACGGTTTCGACGAGTTGCAGAAATTGAAAGTTGATGAGAAATTGCGCCCGGAGCCGCTCAACAACTCCGAAGTCTTGGGATATTACGGGAGTTTCAAGAAGCTAGATGTCGATTGAATTTATTTTTTTAACTGTTTGTTACAATAAACTTTGAAGTCTTAATAATTAAATGTTTTAAAGGAGAGTAAGTTCCTAAAAAAAAAATTACTCCATTTACCGCAAGCTGCAGATTTAAGTAACCTGTAAAAAAATTGTTCCAAATTATAAATTGCCTTTAACACGACAATCACGATCATCATAATCGATAATTTGTGAAAATCAGTGAACATTTTTTATGACCGCAAAATAATCAACTAACAGAAGTGAACATGAGCCAGTAATGGAGATATCAAATATTTTATTACATTAAATAAATCCATTATGATTATTTGTTCTTTTAGAAAACAGACTTCGTTCACCCTACTTTTAGAACGCGAATTGTGCGTAGGTAAAAGAAATGAAATAAACTATTAACTGTTTAGTTATAGAACGATATTGTCACTCGATTGCACGTGCCATTCGCCTTTCACAGACAGACCGCTGCGTTTGCGGTCTTCGCAAATAAATACGAACAAAAAATTAATAAACCGCGAAAATAATTTTTTTTTTCGTTCGGCGGTTTTTTAACAGTTACGAATACCTAATCGACAGGACTAGTGTTCACCGGCAAAACGTCTTCCTTATTTAAATCTAACCCAATCTTGGATAATCGATTCTAAAGGTAAGTGTTTGATTTTTAATTACTAAAATAAGTAGATAAATTTTTGCTGTGTTATTTGCTCATAAAGCTCAAATTTGACCAAGTAGCTTATTCAGTTATTTGTTAAAAGTCTAAAATTTAATACACACAGAGTTGCCTAAATTTTGTCTCTTAATTTAGTTAGTTTGATTTTATAATTTGTTTACATCTCACAGAGTATACCATAGAAATTACAGAAATCAGTGATTAGAAATTAATGAAATAAATTATGTAAATATCAATAAACAAGCTGCATATTACCTAAGACTTCCACTAAAGGGAATCTTAATTGGCCGTATTTAGAAAACATGCTGCAGGAAAAAACTTTCATTAGGTTGCGGACAAACACGCTAGTTTAGCTGTTTGATAAATTTTATAAATATTACGATATTGAAATTGATTCGATTTGCTTAGAAACCGTAGAAATTTTTGTTCATTAACACTTAATTAGATTTATTAGCTCGATGCATAAATTATTAATAAAATTGCTATTAAACAGGTCGTAAATAATAAAATTCTTCAACACGCACGCAGGATAATGGCTCCATAATATCTGCTTGTATAATTATCATATTCAAACACTAGATTTTTTTTATTTAAGGTATAATTTAAATAATAACAGTGCTTAACAATAAATAATGTCAGATGATTGGTTTCAATCATGGGACCCTCCGAGTTTCATACCAAGCGAACCTCTTCGATTCAAAAGCATTAACAACACAGTTTTTAAAACCGACTATCACTCATCATCGCCTTTAGAACAAAGTAAGTAGATATTATTTTCTTAAACCATTTCATTATCATTACTCCCAAACATTTAGTTAACATAACAAAACTGAATAGAACGATTCGTTTAACCGCCGTTCAGCTGTGAAGAAATCTAATGATTTTGGAGCATTTCAAACGGTTGTTTGATTTGAATATGGAACTGTAGTAAGTACCTACATTCTCGATTAACCTATTCGACTAGAACAATAAGAAGAAAACGAGTTGAATGTTGTGCAAATCGCGCCGATTAGCATAATAATGCACTCGAATAAGTTTATGTTACAACGCAAGAAGGACCTCAATGGAGCAATGGGTCCAATAGTCATTGAAGAAAAAAACTTATATATTTATTTTTAGTGAAAATAGCTGTTATTTTACAGCATTTTATATAATCATATATGATTTGTATGCAGAATATTTATGCAGACAAAATAGCACTTGGGGGTATTTCTTCATTTTATTTAATCTTTAATTTCAGTTCTCAATGTACTATTTAAGATTTTTTGTAGGTTCTCCAAATCCATTGTTAACGTATATGGTAGCTTTAAGTCTCATAAGACCACAGCAGAAACAACAAACATCTCGAGTAGTACCGTTGGAAACAACAGGTCCATTCAAAACTTGGTACTACTGGAAAACATTAGATTTCGCCTACCCCAGCGAAGAAGAAAGAAATTTAGCCATATTTAGAGGGGATTTTATTCCAAAAAATAATTTACCGCTCGGTAAGTACCGATAATATCTCGTTTGCTCTTTTTGGATAAGTAACATTTTTTCTAGGCGTGGAAGTTTATGGAAATCGAATATTCATATCGATGCCCCAGTGGAAACCTGGAGTACCGGCCACCCTGGCCGTGATACCGCGGGTGCCGAAGGAACCCTCGCCCAAATTGAACCCCTACCCCAGTTGGAATTGGTACAGATCAGGTGATTGTGCAATAGGCAATTTGTTTATAAAATAGTTTAGTTCCTGTTAGAATGGTACCAATTATTGACTGATATTACACTGATTAAAATAGAAAGTTGTGTCGACGTGTGGGATTTTTAAATTCACTCTTAATTTACTCAGGTACACCTTAGAAGTTCATTAAGCGTTTTTTGAGCGAAATGAATTAGAAATTCACAAATTTCTCCCGCATTTTCTAACTTTATTTACCATTTCCAGACACTTGCGACAGCATAACATCAGTATTCCGAGTGGAAGCCGACGCCTGCGGACGCCTGTGGGTGCTGGACAGCGGCCTGATCGACGTCACCATAAAACCCAAGCAAATATGCCCGCCAAAAGTCCTGATCTTCGATCTTCATACCGACCAGCTCCTCTACAAACACGTCCTGCCCAAGGAGTTCATCAAAGAGGACAGCCTGTACTCCAACATCCTGGTGGACGTGCGCGACGATTGCCACAGCGCTCATGCCTATTTGAGCGATGTTTGGAGATACGGAATAGTGGTGTTCAGTTTGGAGAAGATGAGATCTTGGAGGGTGACCGATCATTTGTTCTTTCCAGAACCACTGGCGGCTGCTTATCAGGTGCATTACACAGTAACGCCTACGAAATTGTTACTAAGGAATTATTTTTTGGTTGTTAACAGGTACATCATTTGCATTTCGAATGGACTGATGGAGTTTTTGGACTATCTTTGAGCCCTCACGATTGTCACAATAGAGATAGGATTCTCTATTTCCATCCGATGTCCAGTTTTCGGGAGTTCTACGTGAAGACGTCCGTAATTTGCAACGAAACCGGTTGGTCTGAAGTGAAAGATGCTTTCCAAGTACTGGGTCAAAGTCGGGGAAAATCCGGGCATGTATCCGCATCTAGAATTGATAGAAATGGTATTAATACAAGACATATAATCGTTTGAAAATGAATAAATAATTGTTCTTGCAGGTGTTATGTTTTACAATTTAGTGACGAGAGATTCGATAGGTTGCTGGGATATCAGGAAACCTTACAAACGGGCTAATTTAGGCGTGGTTGCCAGAAGTTCGGAAACATTGGTGTTTCCAAACGACTTGAAAATCGACAAGGAAAAGCGACAGAGCGTATGGGTGTTGACCAATAAATTACCGTTTTTTATATACGAGGGGCTCGACGAAAATATGGTGAATTTTAGGATAATGTCAGCTTATGTCGACGATGCCGTACGAAATACCATATGTGACCCTAGGATTGTCCATACGGATACTTATTTAGAGTACATCGGGGAAGAGGATTGTTATTAAAATTGGAAATTTTGACTATAAATTAGATTGCTGTATTTTATAAGTATCTGTTAAGTTTATGTTTTTTATACAAATCTCTCATGAATATCATTTTGTAAGTACTTGATGTATGATAACAATAAAAATGGATTTACATAGTACTTATAAAATAAGTTACGATGGTTTATCCATTTTTTATCAGAACATTTAGTATGTACGCATTTCTAAAATGGGGTTCCACAAAATTGTACAGAATCGATAGTATTTCAAAGAATTATAAAATATCATTTATCAGTAAAAAAATTAATGACATTTGCGATGAAAGTTGGAAAAACCGGCGGTAAATCAAAGGCTGGTGTTGCCAAAATTTTCGAGGTTATATTGTCGTCCTGTCTTAATTTGGGTTTGACAATTTTGAAAGTATACGTGAATAGAATTTTATTTAATTCCTTCCCTTCCCTTAAGTATTTGTTTACGTACCATGTACGTTTTTACTATTTTTTTACAATAAAAATCAACAAAAATTGAACCACGCGTAATCAGCGATGACTCAAGAAGGACGAAGGAAGAAAGTTTTTTCCATCGGAAATTACCTTTTCTCTGGAGTCACCTTAGGGAAAGGCAACTTCGCCAGGGTCGAGGAAGCTGTTCACACCATCCTGAACGTTAGAGTGGCGATCAAGATAATGGACATTAACGATGTTAAAGAAGAGTACGTTATTAAGAACCTCTATCGAGAAGCTAAGATAATGGCCAAATTGAACCATCCCTGTATAGTAAACCTCTTTCAAACCATGCAACGAGCCAACAACGTCTACTATCTAGTCACAGAAATCGCCAGCGGTGGAGATTTGTGCACGTTTGTCAAAAACCAAGCCAAAGGTAGATTAGAGGAGAAGTTAAGCAGAGTATACGCCAGACAATTCGTATCAGCTCTATCTCACATGCACTCCATGGGAGTCGTCCATCGCGACCTCAAAATGGACAACGTCATGCTCAACAAGGAACAAACTCAAATTAAGATCGTCGATTTCGGTTTGAGCAACATCTGGACCAGCGATGCACCTTTGAAGACCCACTGCGGCTCGCCGGAGTACGCAGCACCGGAGCTCTTCATCACCGGGAAACAATACGGCAGCGAAGTGGACTTGTGGAGTTTGGGAATCATCCTCTACGGCATGATGCTCGGCAAGCTACCTTTTGTCACCAGTTGCTGTCAACAGCTTCAATCGCAGGAGAAACGCAAGCAACTCGTCTCCAAGATTAATAAGGGTTTGAGCAGCGAGCACAGGAAGGCTCTATCGGCTTTCTCGCCGGATTTTCGAGGTTTAATGTGCAGATTACTAATGGCCGATCCGTTGAAACGGATTAATATGAAGGAATTAATGGTACACCCTTGGATAACCGATAAAGGTAAACGCATGATTCGAACGAATCCATTAAGAACCTTGGATTCCTACGAAATGAACATGCTTATCGGTAAATTGAGCTCGATTGTGCAAATGGAACCGAAGCAAATCAACCAGACGATAATGCAAGAACCTTTCGGCAAAGTAGCTGGTATCTACAACATATTGAAACGAAAATTCCAGCTCAACCAACTCAAAGGCGACGGATCCTCGAAAACGATGCCATCGCTGACGATATTCGAGCTGGCGAATTTGAGCTGCAAAGCGCAGGAGAAGGACAAAACGAGGAAACTAATCAAATTCCAACCGAATCAAACGCAAAAAGTATCCAAAGATTACTCGGGCAATAACATATCCATCAAACAAGACGAGCAATCGATGAAATCCATCAAAATTAACCCGAACCCAAGCAAAGCGAAGACCAAATTCCAATTGACCAAACTACGGCCGGCTACAATGCAAGAACGTCCGATTAACAAGAACGCCAGCGATGAACCGGGAAGACCAGTAACCGTCAACACCGTGGGAGAGAAGAAACCAACCGACTACAGAATCATCAAATCGCCTAACCTAAGAAGAAAAGTCTACTCGGCCACTGTAAACAAGAAAATCAACTCGCCGCTCGCCTCAACGAGGAAACCCGACTCGCGAGGTGGCGACAACGCCGACAAGGAATCCACCGTCACCATCGAAAAAATCGTCTCCAAAGAAACGAAAATTCCCGCTCCACCGAAACCGGACAAATCCAAAATCGATCCGAAGGTGTTGGGCAAGAAGCCCCTGGTGCAGAAGCAGCAGGCGAAGCCGCCCACAGCCAAATTCGAGCCGTCGCCCAAGCGGAACGCCCTCTCGGCGCCGCTGCACAAAATGATCGCGAAATCCCTCAAGACGGCCGTGGTGATGACCAAAGGCAGCACCGCGGTGAAGGTCCCCGCGAAGAAGAAGGACACCAAGGAGAAGGAGGCGGATTTGAGCAGACCCAGCATGGCTTTCGGCGATTTCGTCCGCACCAAAAGCTCCGCGCAGGCCAAGATGGCGATCTACGACCCCATAGCAAGATCGATAGCGGATTACGTCGCTAACAATATTTCTGATAAGGTTAATCGTTGCCCGTGGCTTAAAAAGTAACGTATCTAGCGTAAAACATTTGTTTATGTAAGAATTATTATGTGTAACTTAAATTATCGAATAAAGAGGCAGACGACATTCATTTGAAAATTGATTTGTTTTAACTAACTCAATATTCTCTTTTGTAAGCAAACATTTCATCAAATATCTACAAAGGGGTGTAGACTGGTTGTTTTATGAAAACCCGCACAATTTCTCGGTACATTTTTCGACGTTTACCAGTAGACGATTTGTTCGAAACGACTCGGAACGAGAATAAAAAAAAGCGAAGAAAAACAAAACCAGATGAGACAATTGAGCAATATCCGAGGAATCTCCGGTATGTCTGCTCCGGTATGCTCCGGTCGGTCTGTCAACGACGACATCGCCCCACACGATGCGAACGATGTGCACGTCTTCCTTTTGACATACTCGCCCTCCATCATTGAGTTCTTTTTCTTCGACGATTTATGAATTGTTTCGCATTTGCCCCACAAACGGTATTGAGAGAAACTCTTCGTACAGAAGCTAATTATTTATCTATCTCAATTACTTTGTAACAGAATGCTATTTAGTGATTAGGAATGTTCAAGAACTGTTCAGAGCTGCTTAGAGCTGTTCAAAACTTCTTTATTCATCAGAGCTTTATAAAACGCTTATCTAATGAAAGTATTGGAAAGATCAATATAATTTCGAGTGTCGGTGTAAATGTTCAGAACTTTTTAGGACTATTCAGAGTGGTTTAGTTCTCTTCAGAGCTGTTAAGAACTGTTAAGAGCTATTTGGAGCTGTTCACAACTCCCTTCAAACAGAACCCTTTCAAACTTCCAAATTCTTCAACACCAATCGGAAGTTTTTAAAACGCTTTCCATCTAATGGAATTATTGGATAGCACAATTTACATTCGCGTCGGTGTATGTTAAACGTTTTGGAACCTTTTCGATCGCCCGTTTATCCTAAATAAATTCACATCGAAAACGGCCGGAACGAGCGAGAAGAAAACGCCTATAAAATATTTTTCTGATCGGTCGGGTTCGGCGCTCCGTCGAAATTATAGGGGCCTTTATCGCCGTTGACAGGCCCATCGTGATTCATAACACCCGCGCCGATCGGCCAGGCGCCGTTTCGGTCGCCGGTGGTGCCCTCAGGGTGCCCAAATGTTAGGTTAGGCGATCCGTATTTTTTCTTCTTTTTTTTTCTTCTTCTCTCGATCGTCTCAGTCTGAACTCGAGTAGTTTATGAATGAACGAGAGGCCCAGAGCTGTCGTGGATATAACGAGGATGGTGATGCGAGATCACGTACGTTCGAATAATAGGTCAAAGGGTTGATTTATCTAGCACTGTTGCCAATCGAAATTACTTTGTTAATTATACTGCTACTTGTATGATACTCATTTTGCTAGAAGGATTCTTTCTACTTTCGATAATTTAATTAAAACACGTTAGGATAATGAGGAGTATATCTCTCTGTGATATCTAATCAGGTATAATAGGGCAAATAATTAGCTTATCTAGCACTGTTGCCAACCAAAATCAATTTGTTAAGTGTTTAACAAAATCGCTTGGTAAAGTTCACTTAGCAGCAATTCCTGATGCAACTCACAAAGTAATTTTAATTCTTATGTAAGTTCAATGTATATAGGTTAAATATCTCATGTTCCGCCGCTGTTTCTCCTCGTTTTCGACCAATTATAACGCTATCAGCAACCGCACCGCGGTATGGTATGAGTATGGTGTGGTATGGTAAGGTATGCCTCGAGGTCGGGACGGGAACCCCTTTTCGTTTTTCTCTCGTAAACCATTTTTTTGGCGACGTGCAAATAAGCTGCTCTAAATAGGCGGGTTCCATGTAAATGGGGGTCAGAGATCGACCGGCCAATTTGTTGGGTTTTTGATCGACGACCGGCCGGTTTCTGGGAAGTTTTTTTGGGTCTTTCATTCACACAAACGCATTAATCATTCGTAATCGATTAATCAATTCGATTTTATTGTACGGACGGATTTATTTTTACTTCATTTTTTCGAATCGAGCGCGCCAACCGCTAATAGGTATCAGTATCCGATGATAAAACTAATTGAATATTAATCCGATGAATATCGGAATAGGTAAGATATGCATCATCATCACCATCAGACATGGAAATTCGTTAATAACAACGCAAAGAATGAATATTCTAGGAAATATGACTCGACCAGTTCCGTTCAAATGTTCAACATATTAAACTACTATCAACTACCATCTTGAGTTCTTTGTTAGGTTTTGTTGCCATCGCTTCCTTTGTATTCTACATATTTTCTAGGAAACGCATCCCAACCTTGGGAAAATCCTTCACGACACCATCACACTTTATTTCTCTGATACTTCAAGCACCATCAATACCAAAATCAATAACCAGAATTACAGATTAAATGTTGATCTTATGCGGAGCGACCAAGAGTACATACGAATAATGGTCGATTTGAAGAATATTAATAAATTAATTAAGAAAAACATCTACGCCATTGTACGTGAACTAATGATCGGATCATCGGTGGTCGGGCGCGAAGGGATCAAAGAACTGAAGAAATCGAAAAGAAGAAATGAAAAGGCTCGTCGACATTCCGAACAATGGACCACCGAGTAATGCAAGAACGGTTGAAAAGAGGGAGCTCTAATTTGTATTGGATGGCTCGAGGCGAACGTTGTGTACACGTTGGGACGTGATTGCATGGAACAAATAGCTGACGCCACTGTATCGCTGAAATAAGAAGATGAAGAAAAAGAATACGCAGAAGATTAAGTTGAAGAAAAAGACGAACGGTGTACTAATTGGACGTTGCGTTTGGTAATATATTTGATGTGAAAAAACGGAGTTCCTATGGAATCTAACTGACTCTGAATTGTCTGATCTTCAATCAAATTATCAAGTGTTTGTACAAATCAAAATCCACATCTCCATTAAATTGCCAACTATTTGCATTCAATATTCGAAGGTTTCCTCGTTCACGTTTCCTCGACCCGATCCCTAGATAACGAAAAATTCCAGTACGGCTTCGGGTTAAACTATACACTCGCGGCATTCAACCCAACCCGCCCTAGTTTCTTTCTTCTTTTCCTCGCCTCGCTACGTTTTCCTCTCTTTTCTCTATTAATTAAGCGAATCGATACGAGCGCTTGTGTGTATTTTTAGCCACGCTGAAAGCTAAAAACGATTGATATCCGCGTTTCGGGATCACGAAACGCGAGAACCGTTAGGTGTTGGCGGGGATTTTTCGATTCTATCTGCCGCGAAATGGGCCCTTAGGGGTGACTTCGTTAAGTCGACTTATCTCTAAATGATTTGAATTGAAATGCTTTTGTTAATCATTGATGTAGTCTTTGTTCGCAACGATTTTTTAAATTCTTGGTCTAGGAATATTTTGGTTTAGAATCGTTCCAATGGTATGTTAATTGAGTCGTCATTTGAGTTATTTGGATCATCTTCTTTAGTAGATTCTTCTTTAGTAGATTCTTCTACAGTAGATTCTTCTACAGTAGATTCTTCTACAGTAGATTCTTCTACAGTAGATTCTTCTACAGTAGATTCTTCTACAGTAGATTCTTCTACAGTAGATTCTTCTACAGTAGATTCTTCTACAGTAGATTTTTCTACAGTAGATTCTTCTACAGTAGATTCTTCTACAGTAGATTCTTCTACAGTAGATTCTTTTACAGTAGATTCTTCTACAGTAGTTTCTTCTACAGTAGATTCTTCTACAGTAGATTCTTCTACAGTAGATTCTTCTACAGTAGATTCTTCTACAGTAGATTCTTCTACAGTAGATTCTTCTACAGTAGATTCTTCTACAGTAGATTCTTCTACAGTAGATTCTTCTACAGTAGATTCTTCTACAGTAGATTCTTCTACAGTAGATCCTTTTACAGTAGTTTCTTCTACAGTAGTTTCTTCTACAGTAGATTCTTTTACAGTAGACTCTTCTACAGTAGATTCTTCTACAGTAGGTTCTTCTACAGTAGATTCTTCTACAACAGATTCTTCAACAGTAGGTTCCTCTATAGTGGATTCCTCTTCAGTATATTCTTCTTCAGTAGATTCTTTTAAATAGATTCTTCTTCAGTGAATTCCTCTTCAATAGATTCCTCTTCTTAAATCTTCCATTTCCCTTAATCAATCCATATTCCAGTAAATTAATCTCCAATGTCCTTTTGATTAAGTCGCTGGTTACATCAAAATGGAATGCAGTTAGGAGCAATTTTAAATTCGAAATATACACAAACCATTGTGTTAGAAAATAGATTACAAGGTTAGAAGCAATTAATCTGAACTATTTGACTAAGCAAACGATGCTCGCAGCAAATTGTAATAATAAACAATAAAGATTATAACACTCTCACATCATCTATCTGGTTTCTTATAGAATTTACGCTGTTGCCAATCTCGTACGAATCTTCAAGGAAATTTCCACGGATATTTCGGAAATTTTTCAGCGTATGTAAACAAACAGAACCTTCGGCGTGTGGGCGCTTTGAATGGAGCATACACCGAAAATCGAGTCCCACTTCGTTTCGTATTGTATTGTGTACAATCCTACGCTTTGCGCGTCTGAACAAGGTCGGGCTCTGTACGCTTGTACGCCGTCGTCGTGTAGTCGCACCGACTAAATAGTTACATGTCTTGGCTTCTAGGAAATTACATAATTTCCACAAACGCCGAGCGGCGGTTCGTTCGAATATAGCCCGAATTTCGCCTCAATCGAAACGCGTTCGTTGCCCCCTTTCGGGATAGCCCATGCTAGGTGGAGCCCATCGGGAAGGCTTTCGGTACTTTCGTCTAGGCTAATTTTAAACCAGCTTATTTTTATTCGGGCATACGAGTGGTCGCTTCGCGTGAAAAAAAAACTGTAAAAACTAGTTGATTTGTTTAAAAGATGTATTCTTGTGTTCGAAGAAGTCAATAGTGCGCTAGTGTTTATTGTTGAATTGATAAGTATCGAGTCCTGCTGATTGGTAAGTTGAGTTTATAAAGAATACTTCATATTCTGTTTAGGTATTCGCTAATTGATTGTTTTTAACCTGTTTTCGTTTTAATGGGTTCTTTTTCGAGTTCCCTAATGACTTATCGATTTTCCATTCAGTCTAGCTGGCGACTTTTGGACGGTATTAATAATACATCAACACGAAATAGGGGTAAAAATAACTTTAGTCGACTCGCATTTATACCTAAGTGGTTTCTATTATATCAAAAAAGTCGATATTTTGAAATACGCACTGGTTATATTCCTGCGTTTGACTATTCCTGCTTCCTGCTACTATTTATTTTACCTAAGCAATCAAAGATAAAGAGAAACAAATATTTGATGTGTTTAAAGCGATTATACTGCAATTTTATTCAATCCTGCTGCAAAAGTTTTGCAGGAATTGGTTCAAAATTACATTTGCGTTAAATTATTTCGCGCTTTATCGCAAATAAATGTTAAGACGCCAACAACGATAATAAATTTTATGCTGCCATAAAATCTTGAATGTGTTCCATTTTCTAACACTTCCTAACGTTATAGAACTAATCTTATTACCTTTTTCGACTTCCTATTGAGATTGAATAATATCCAACACCCACCAGAGTGATTTGGGCTATTTAAATTGATTATTTGTAGACTCTAATGCTCGTTTTTAGAAAGCTGTTTAGTTTAGTAAAAAGCGTCTGTAAATAATTTAAGTAAGTAAATAAGACTAAGTTTGAACTACTTATCTCTATGATGCAAAATCTAAAATAATCAAATATTCAGATAATGTTATATACGAGGGGTATTTTTGCAACACGAGCCTTAAACGAGTTACTATTTTGAATATAACTATTAATTCGAAAAAATTTTATTGCCAATCTTTGTTTTATTTCTCACTCCATAACCTTGGAAATATTCCCTCCCGTTCGGAATATCGATGGTACGGTAATGGTAAGCATTGGTAACGGTAATAAGCAGTAAATTGGTAAATCGACAAACTACTGGTGACCTCTACGTTTTGAGCCTACAACTATCCGAACAATTTGAATATTTGCGATTGAAATAGTCTAGCAAAAGCGAAGAAAACACATCGAACTGCCGGGGACAATACACAGATGGAGCGAGTTGTAACGTTTCGATGTAGTGATAAGAACTACTGTTATCATTATCAGATTCGTTATTATCTTTAGGTGATAATAAAATTATATTTCAATTAGAACCCATCAGATAAAGTAGACAGGAAGCTTAAGCATTGACGATAAGGACTGTTGATAGGTCCTTCCTGATAGAAGAAACTGATTAGTTCTGATGAAACTAATCAAAATATTAAATAAGATTAATTTGGAGGAATTTTGATTGGCTTTTCTAATGTTGTATAGAAAATATTTTTTAGTAGCTTCTCTTTTCTCTTGCTTAACTCGAGGACTACTAATAATGGAAACCACTATTCTAGTATTATCCCCATATTATAATATGTATTTGTTTTTAGAATCTCCTAATGATAATTTTTCATATAACTAGCAGTTTGTGAAGAATTTTCAAAATTCGCAAATAATTACAACCTTTTCGTGCTCATAACTCCAAATTTAAAAATGCTAAACTTTAAAGCTTGCTCGTTATGGGAGGAAACCATCAAACTTCAGTATTTATATGACAATTTTATAATTTTAGAGGTATCTTCATTTTTCCCAATCTTCAACTTTCAATCAAAACAAACCAATAAATCTCTTAAAATCCCAAAACTCCAGTCAAAACCGCAGTGAAAACTGCATTGAAAATTTTACAGCTCGAAAGCTCAAATTCCTGCTAACTGAAGCTCGACCGGTGCTGCCACCTCACTGTCGCACTCTTACAACTAACAACTCCTGCAATTCTCGTTACGTAACGGCGATTTCATGACGTAAACGTTAACTCGTTGACGTCACGATGCCTTGTTAAATTATAACAATACCTGCCAGGGAATCTGGGGATTCCCGTTTGATGCTTCGCGCTATTCCAATTTCCGTATTGTTTGGCTCGCGCATTTTCGTTAATCGTCCTTGCTTTATTCGATCGGATCTTCCACAACAAACAATAGACTATTTTGAGATCGCAGGTTTATTGTTTAAATAAATTAGTTGCGTAGGTATTTTGCTAATGGGAGTTTTTACGTGTAAACGGATGTAGGAAATGCGTATTGAAGTTGCATTAAAATTGAGGATATTAGCTGTTTAACACTATGTTAAAAGGCCAGAGAAATTATGATTGGATTTTTTTTCTAAAATTTATTGAATTTTGAATTAATAATTTCAGTTTTTTTTAAGAATGAAAACAAATAAACTGTGCTAATATCATTCTAAAAACTAGTAAGTGATCTCAGCGGAAGTAAACATTATACATTTATCCTATCATAAACAAATAGCTATATAATTAGTTATTATTATTAAACACACTGGCGATGGTACTTTGACGTAAATGTGACTCCCCGGGAAATTTAAACGCATTGTTTAAATAAAGCAAAGTCTAGCTTGCTACTATTTCCACGCCTAGACATTAGATAACGCAATTATTTAAGTACATAACGATTATTTTTAGCATTTTAGCCAACAGGAAATGGTAAAATAAAAATAAGCAAAATATGTTATTACTTTTTTACTCTAAATATTTCTACCCTTCCTTTACTACTCAATTACCTCAAAAACTATTTATAAAACGTTGTAAAAAAGATAATTAGTTCATGACAGAATAAACCGGTAAATTAAGCTTGATGATGGTCGTTTAGATCGAAACAACATTTCAATAAAACATTGTAAGCAAAGTTTTGATTATCACACATTAATCGAGTTATGGATAAATTCTTGTTCTACTAATCCGTAATTTTTTTTATGAAAGAATCCGCTGAATATACTTTGTTTTTTTTTCAACGTTCTCGTCTCGCGTTTCTCCTTAAAAATATTTACAAAAAAATTATTGCGAATGTGCAAATAAACCGTACGTGCATTAGGATATTTTCTCACAACCTCGTTCATTGAAAATATTCCCTTTAGCATTCTCGAATGAAATCAGGTGCACGTTCTAACCGGCCACATACCTAGATTAAAAATTCCGCAAAAGCGGATATTTTTTCCTCAATAGGAAGATTTAATTAATTTACTGGTTAATATGCAGATATTAGAGATTTCCTGCAAGATATCACAAATGAAGTCGTAGCTTATACAAGAATAGATAATCACAATAAAGGGATGAAACTAGTAAAAGGAATCTAGCAAAGGGAATCAAGTACCTAAAGGTTATCAAGTACAGAGAATCAAGTAAAGGGAATCAAGTAAAGATAATGAAGTAAAGGGGTCAAGGCCATTTAACTCTCTTAGTTGAGGTAAAACTTAATTTTCTCGCTAAAATTTACTCAACTTGGGCCCATCTTAAATCATCTAAAATCGTCCTGATGACTAATTTGCATTTACAAACTTGTTTGAACTTGTGTGAATTTTTATCTGCTCTAAGGGGCATTGGCAAAATAAAAAACCTAACTGTAATACTTACAGAGATAATTTACGCAATATAACATAATAAATCCTTATGTACCTATTACAACAATTTGCATAATTAGCGAAATAACGATCACAACATTAAAGCAAATATACAATGTCAGTGACCTCCTTTATTCGAGACCATTAATCACGCGTAAAAATCTATTTTCGATTATAGATTAAACACATTTAGAAGAACCGGATCTGCGTCTGGAATGAAATGCAAATTATTATACAGGGTGACCAAAGTGAAATTTTTTATTGAAAAAAGTATCTACTTAGATCAGGTATTCGAAACATTTCTCGCTTTATTAGGATGCTCCGAGAGTTCATTTGATCGCCCTGTAGACTTCCGGAAAATCAGCTTTTCCGGCGCACGTGAAAACCGGCGCGCTTTCGTTTTCTGTGCAGCATTTTAACATTCAGTTCGGATATTGATAGTGTTGCAACGCGACCTAGTCCAATGATTCATGATTCACGTAACAGAAACAGACACGGTCAAGGTCTGATCAATTGAATGAATGGAATGGATTTCATAGGTTTTCGTAGATAGTCCGGGCGCTCGGGCCCAGAAATTTTGTTTTATTACAACGCGTTTTAAGGATTTTTTATTTGAAATTTTAATTGGTTTGTGTAAAAATATTTTAAGCGTTTTCTCCCTAGTTGTACCTGCATGCTTTATTGTATAAATCAACAGTTTAAAATAATTTCTCCCTAGTTTTATGATTTAATAAATCTATAGTTAAGTTAAAATCTAAATTAGTAAAAAATTATTAATAAATTAATAAACACTTGAATATAAATAAAAATAATTCAAGCCTCCTGACTATATAATACTCAGCAGGTCAATTTTCCCGAAACAATTCTAAGATTTGCTATTAAGAGGAAGCAAATAGCGTCAAAGGGGATCTGTTATAACCTTTAAATTAATAGAAAATTGTATGTTTAAACAATACAAGTGAGTCACATTAATTTTGGATTTTGCTCGCGGAATACGCGGAATACACTGTCATATGGATTTTACTATTTGAGTATGTTCCCTATTTGAATGAATCAAATGGGATCTTCTTAACCTCAAATGAATTTAAAGTAGGTTATAGCTAATTTAACTAGCAGTTTCAATTCGATAATAAAAAGTATAGGTTCAGTGTGATTTTGGTGGTTTCTGGAAGTTGAGAAAATAGAATATCTAAATTTGGAGCGAAGAGTTTATATCATAAAATTGTGATGCGTAATAGCCCGAGATAATTCATCGAAAGGTAATAAAAACTTTGTTTGCATCTCATACTCGGATTATCTAAGGTTAGTAATACGATTTTCAACAATTGTTTAGTCACGATTTTATTGGTGAAAAATCAATTCCGATCTCATTGCTCATAAAGCGATTTTACATTACCTGCCCATGCGATTTTTAATGGTACATATTGCGCAACTTCTTCATCGCAAAAATGTTAGTCCCTCTCGAAATTAAATTTTAAACTGCTGTATTTAGCAAGCTTGGGCGCCTATATGAATCATCGAAAATTCTAATTCTCTTTTGCGCAAATTTAGCCAATTCGCGGAACATACCAGGTGCAAACGATCCGTAAAATGGGTGTGAAATGACACGATGACACATGCCCAAGGTTGGACAATTGGGGTTACCATTTAATTAGACGAACAAATCCGGATATTTATTTTACTTACCTGTTCTATTGTCATTACATCCTCAACGGTGGTCTACGGAAATTCCTGAAAAGAAATATCCTGCTGTAAATTATTTAAATATCTATTGATTTCGTTGGTTACAAGCTCGCGGAATGCACCAGTGGGTGGAGGAAATATTTTCTGCGTGAATCTCCCGTGAATAACACAGATTACCCGGTAAATAAAAAAATGTATCGTAATTGGCTATCTAGAAATCGGTTTGAATTATAATAATGTAAGTAAATTGGTTCATGGGATGTCTCTTCAATTTGCGCTTACATGTTTAAGCATCAAATTGAGTTCCTAATTGAATTTCTAATTTAAATTTCTACCTAATTATGACGAAATTGTAGATAACATTTAACTATGATTTATGTCCAATTTTCGTTCCAATTTATCTATTATTTCAGCAAACACTGTTACATTTACAGTAACCACGGCAACGCCGCAATCTCCTTCACCTGTTGCAGACGTACAATAAGTACTAGTTTTGTTCTTACAACCGCTTCGAACTGTTTTCAGCCTACCACAGTTACCACACATTAAAATAACATTGAGCAATACATTTATGTACTGCAGAACCACCATCGCAACCTCCTGTCTTTGTATTGTTGCACGAATCTCGTTTATCCCACTGAATAATTTTTTTGTATGTCATTTAAGGCATGTTGAAACTGGCACTTACACATTGGAAATTTATCTACAATTGAAATTGTCGATAAATGTACAGGATGAGTACGTAGACTTGTTTGATCCACCCATAGTGGTTTTTGAGAGAAGAAAATTTTCAGTACTAATTCATCGATAGGTACTAGTTATTGGTATTGCGGGCGGAAGGAGGACGTGGTCGAGCACGTGTAGACACTCCGACAGGAACAATGAGCTTCAAATATTAATGAGGCTCAGTTGAGCGTCGATTAAAGTATCCGTACGCCTGTTCGATGGGTTCGCGGAAATTTCCCTAGATACCATCTTGACGTTTTCGTTCATTCGGTATTCAGTATAGCGTTTTTAACGCTATTTAACCGTTTCGCCGATTCTGTTGAATTAACACTGCCGACCGACGCAAACAGAAATTAACGGAAATATAATTAAGGATGGGTTTTTTTTATTAATTGCAAGCAGCAATTAATTACGAACTGCACAAATGCTTACTCTTTATTTTCTATATTCTTGTCCTAAAGTTCAGCCCGATAACTAAATTATTCCACTAAATTATTGCACTGTAGAGTACTGTTCTGCTTTTAAGTATGAATTAAATTCATCGCTCGTTTTATTTTGCGGTATAAAAATGCACAATTCCCATCGGATTTATCGTTTTAACCGCAAAAAAAATGTACAGAGGAGTGCGAAAGGAGAGGCGCGAAAAGTGCGTGATCGCCATCGAAATCATACGATTCGAGAAAGGCAATTGAATTCTACGTGTCGAAATCGATCGTTCGAGAGAAAAAAAGAAAGCACACGCCGTCGTGAGTCACGATTAGACGCCGTCCCAAATCCAGCAGGTGTTTGTTTTACTAAAATCCGATTGCGCAATGTTGCGTAATTTTTCGGGCAAACTCCTAAAATCCAGAATGCGCCTCGTTAGCTCTCTCGACGACGAGCCCACCTCTGCTCTTCGAAGGAGAAAAAAAAAAGTCCGGCGGTCGAATTTACATTAATCCGGGCGTGCGATAAACGATAAAGCCCAATAAAAACAAGCGGAAAAAAAAGCAAGAGCGCCCAGCGCCGACCGCGTTTAACGAAATGTAAAACAAAACGGGGCCGAAAAGTGGCACTCTTTGTGGCGTGTCCGATTGTTAACGGGCTATCAATGGCGCTCTTGCAGG